CACACTTGCGCGGCGCACACACACTTGCGCGGCACACACTCACCGCAGATCTTCAGCGGCGCCTCCAGCTCCAGCAGGATCGGCTGACTGAGGAAGATCTCACGAGACTTGATGCACAAACCCCGAACCTCCGACTCCGTCATCTGAACGATCTTCCCTGGACGGCATCCTCGCACTGACACACACACACACACACACACACACACACACACACACACACACAGAGAGAGAGAGAACAACATGAGAACTCATATGGCAGGACAGACCACAGACTACATGCCAACATTATCATAAACATATTACTTTACTAAGTGATACCATACGCTGAGAGTGTGTGTGCGTGTGTGTGTGTGAGACAGATGTGCATATCATGTCATGAATGTATTTAATAACTGAAATGTATGGCAGATGCAGATCGTTTTCAAATCACACAGTAAATTAAACCATACAACTCAGAATTCAGGGCCAAAAGATGCAGATAGATCGATCCATCAACAGACACACAGAATCACAGGAAGCGTTTCAGGCGCTGTAACACACACACACACACACACACACACTGGAGGAGCCAGTCAAACCAGAAACACACACACATAAAGAACCTGTTTGAGAACAGCCACTTGTGTGTGTGTGTGAGTTTGTGTGTGTGATTAAACATAAATCTCCTCACAGCCTCACAATGATGACCTTGTATGGGCACAACACACACACACAGACACACTCTCTCTCTCACACACACACACACACACACACGCGATTCTTTTTTTTCCTTGTGATGTCACTAAACCATAACCATAAAAAGATTGTAAAATTATGATTTGAACAACTTTACAGTTCAAATAATACAAGTTTTAACAAAAAATTAATAAAGTTAAAAGTTATTATTTAAACAAACAATAATAATAATAAAAAGTGGTTACCTCTGAAAACAAAGCAGAAAATATATATTTTTTTATTTAATGTTTATCTGACAGGGATTAGAACATTGCTTTCTAAAGAACAGAGTAGATGCCGGTCCACGACTCGTGTCCCTGTGAGGCTGCACTATTACAACAGAAATTACAGACGATTGAGTTTAAAATGTATAACTATTAAATACATACAATAAATAAGTCCATACATGAGATAAGATATGGGCTTTAGTGGATGTAGAAATCACTATAAACCAGAGTCACATTTAACAATACAAGAACACAACAGTGTGTATATCTGTGTGTGCTAACATGCAACATTACGTGTGTCTGCGTTGTGTCGTGTGTGTTGTGTGTGTCGTGTGTGTTGTTGTGTGTTGTGTGTGTCGTGTGTGTTGTTGTGTGTCGTGTGTGTTGTTGTGTGTTGTGTGTGTCGTGTGTGTTGTGTGTGTCGTGTGTGTCGTGTGTGTCGTGTGTGTTGTGTGTGTCGTGTGTGTTGTTGTGTGTCGTGTGTGTTGTGTGTGTCGTGTGTGTTGTTGTGTGTCGTGTGTGTCGTGTGTGTCGTGTGTGTCGTGTGTGTTGTGTGTGTCGTGTGTGTTGTTGTGTGTCGTGTGTGTTGTTGTGTGTCGTGTGTGTTGTGTGTGTCGTGTGTGTCGTGTGTGTTGTTGTGTGTCGTGTTGCATTGTGTTGTGTGTCGTGTTACTATATCGATAAGATAAGAACATGTGTCCGATATATTAAAGCCGATAGTAGTGTATTATCTCCTTCAGCTGAGACGCTTCACACACTGTTCAACATGAGGGTTTGAGTTGCTGGAAATATGATCAGAAACACTTCAAAAAAGGAAAATACAGTAAAGTGCAACATGTGCAGCGCGAGTGTGTCATATCGGCTTCATAAACTATCATGAGAACATCATAATTGTGTGTTCATATCGGCTTCATAAACTATCATGAGAACATCATAATTGTGTGTTTGGGACGTGGCTTTTTTAATGTAAGAGTTTTTAAGGACTCGAGTGGGAAAGATTGTCCCATCATGACTCATGTTATATCTGTGGATCTCAGAGTCACTGTGACTCAGGAGACGAGGAAAACACACACGGACATCTGTGATAATGCCACACAGTCTCTACTAAACCTAGAGTTCTCAGTGTGTGTGTGTGTGTGTGTGTGTGTGTGTCTTCTGGCTCTGATGAAAACCAGTCCCGGCTATTTTCAGATCTCTTTCTCCCCAGCTGTGCACAACCAAATATGGTCTTGTGTAGAATGAAGGATGAAGGTTTTGCAGCGTTCTGGAGAATCTCCACACACACACACACACACACACACACACACACACACACACACACACACACACACACACACACACACACACACAGAAACAGCTGCACTTTTAGTCAGCATGAAGTCAAAATGGATAATTGTTAGTTATGGAATATTGCGGAGTTTATTCCACATGATTTATGGCTGCGCATCATCAGGCTATAGTTAATAATGTTGAGTCAGAATCAGTTCCTCTCAGCATCTCTTCTCTGATGATGTGGGCGGGGCAACCTGTCACTCACAGGAGACCAGCCAATAACAAACCACGACCAACCAATCAGTTCCCCACGGACACAATCAAGCCCCGCCCACATTAGATCTGGTTCCTGAAGCGTCTCGACACAATAGAGGAGAGAAGAGCAAACTTCCCTTTCATGACTAGTTTAAACATTAATGTGAATAACTTGCACATTAACTGAGTCATTAGTGACTATTATTAATGAATGTACACAGAATATTTAAATGACTTGACTATGACTGAAGAACTGAATAAAAGAACATTAAAGGGAACATGATCCTTCGCTCATCATTTACTCGCTCGCCGCTTTCTTTCCCTGTTCTGGAGACAGCCGGAGAAAAGCCTCAGTGTTGTTCGCTTTCCAACGTTCTTCAAAATATCTTCTTTCACGGAAGAAAGTGATGATGATGAGGAAATGAAGGCAGAACATCAGGTTCGGGAGAACTAAAGCTTTAACAGTGCAAAACATCCCAGACATGTTCAATATTCAACTAAATATCTGTTGATTGATTCATATGACTGACAGACACTCCTACATGCTTCAGCTGATGGTCACACACACACACACACACACACACACACATCATCACAGCTGTTGTGAATCGCATAATAATATGCAAAATCACACTTGATATATGACTTGCATATTTGTAAATTCACACTGACGATTTTTGTCCTTTTTAAATATAGTACACTTATAAAATTAGATCATTTCGACATAACCGACAGGACATGGTTTTGCTTGTTTACGTCACACAATAAAGAACAACACATTCTTCAAATAACTCCAGTATTGGTTTGCTGACGTCACCGGCGGGGCGTGACGTCATTTCAAAACAGTGTGAGGACAGACATCATCTTACATGCTAACAAACAATAACTCGAGTTAGAAACACACCGACCAAAAATACTGAAATACACGGGAATGATATGAACTTTCAGACACACACGGGCGTAACGTTTACAGGGAGTTTGCTATTTTAACCGGCGAATATTGACGCTATAAACTTGTAGATTTGCAGCTACAGGAACACACTTTAATAACACGCGAACATACTCAACACATCACGTCTGTCATCCCGAAATAAAACACAAAATCACACATCATGTGACACTGGAGGGAATTGAACCGGAGCGCGCGTTTGTTGTCGGAGGCCGAGCTGACATATTCTCACACACACACACACACGGGCCTTTCGGACACAACCCCGCTGGAATGAGCGAGTACACCCGCCAGACTCGATCCCACAGACCCGATCCCTGACGCCGAGGAGAGAGAGAGAGGTGCCGAGGAGCGCTACTCACCCTCCAGTAATCTGGAGATCAGAGAATCCACGTCCAGCTCCTCCGCCATTACTGACTGACTGACACCCGCAGCGCGCTCGATCACTGCGCGCGCACGAGTCTCCTGACCTTCACAGAGGCGGTTACGCGCTTCACTGAACCGAAACACCCAGTCACTCCTACACCACATCTTCAGTTTTACAAACTTTATTTATTTATTCAAAGTAAACGAATTATAATATATTTACGCTTTGTATTTCTATCTGTGTATTTTCTATTTTTTCTCTTTGTATTTTTATCGTGTAAAGTGCCCTAATAAGCTGCATTAAAGGCGCTATATAAAATAAAGTTTATTTTTATTATTATCATATTTCCTTTTTTTTTAACATTTTACACATAGCCATTGAGTCATTTCTATTTAAAAACTCTACTTTGAATGAATAAATGACTTTTTGTATTAATCATGGCAGTTTACACACATAAAAAGTCTAAATGAATGAAAAGAAAAATGTGTCTCATGATGATCATCAATGTTTCCACTAAACGACATACATTTTGATTTTTAGTCAAATACTGTTTTTTTTTATGAAACACTTAAATAAAAACTGTACATTTGAGACGAAATTAACAGTTGGATTTATTTATTTGACATTCAGAGGATTTATTAAGGTATCATATAGGGCCAGTTGTTCAAAGGTAAGCTGATCGGATGTTGGTTATCAGATTGGATCAAATCTTGAAAATGGGTTGCTCAAAAGGGAAAGAAGGAATCTGAAATCAGATTAGATCAGGGAATCCAATCCTAGTTTTAATCTGGATCAAACCTTCAGTTTGTGTTGTTCAAAACTTGTCAGTGGGATTTGGATAACTTTGATCCAAAGAAACAGGATTATCCTGACCCCAACAGGGGGTAGGATTTCAAGGTGGATTTCAGGAAGAAAATGTAGTAAAACTTTAAAATTGGTCAAATAATACATTTGTATCATTTAGTGTATATACTTTTATTTATATTTTGCACTTGACTTGTGTAACCGTTGTAACAGTGATAAAGTAGACATGGGCTAACAATGAAGCTATTCAGTATAGTAAAGTAAAAATAAAATAAAAATTATCTTGTCCCCATGAAATAATCCCCCAAACAGATTTCAATAACAAACAAAAATAATATATTCATTTTTCGGTCATTCATCACCGTATATTAATTTCAAAGAAACAATCATCAGAGATGAGCCTGTCAACAATAATGTCTAACAATTGCATCCCTTGCTATTCGTCCAGTCAGTCCCTGATTCTGACAGACCACCAGAGGTTGGTCTGGTTCTTCAACAGGCTCAGGTGCATCATAACCATCATCACGGAGAGGGACAGCGCCTGGTAGCGATGTTGTGCAGGACGATACACGCAAGTATTATGTTGCATGCTCCCTGTGGTTCCACTCGCAAGTAGTTAAGGCATGCAAAGCGTCTCTTCAGAACTCCATTTAAACGCTCAATTGCACATCTTGTTTTGCAATGAGCAGTGTTGAAGCGTGCCTGCGCAGGTGTGGTTGCTGCACGAAAGGAGTCATCAGCCATGGTAGGAGTGGATAGGCACTGTCTCCTAATATTATGCCATCCGGTCGGTTGGTTTGGAGCTCTCTGTATAAAGCACTCTCTCTCAGGATGAGAGACCCAGGCCACTTCACGACAGTTTGTGATGATGAGGTCAGCATCGCCCACAAGTTGGATGTTGATGCTGCGCCTCCCCTTTCGGTTGATGTACTCCCAATCCCTCTCATGAGGTGCTTGGATATGCACATGAGTGCAGTCAATAACCCCAATAGTATTGGGCATGTTCCCCAAATGAAAAAACTTGTGCTTGGTCTGGGCAATCTGGACATCCTTTGGAAGTGAAACAAACTGATTGACCAGGCTGGCCAATGCAATTGACACAGCTTTCACTACATCACTCACAGTTGATTTGTCCACTCCCATATTATCACCAACAACTTGGTAGAAAGTCCCAGATGCATAGAAGCGCAGACCAATGAGGACCTGTTCTTCCACAGACAGACTGTGACTCCTTCGGGTTCTCCGTTGAAGTTTTGGCCTGACAAGGTCTGCAATGTACTTAATATCAGCATTCCCAAAGCGAAAGCGAGCATACAGTTCTTCAGTGGTGTATTGCTCCAGTGGTTGTACACCCTTTGACGGTATCCTCTTCCACCAACACGGTGGTAGCGATGGACAATACCTGCCATGTCAGTGCCTCTCTCTAAGTCCTCTGAGAAAGGCTGAATATAAGATGGCTGTCAAATACCCACACACCAATTGGCTGACGTGCTGTGGCTTGTTTTCAATTAAATCAATCATGCCCAAGGCCTATAAATACTGTGTTCACTACAACAGAAGCGGTGAAACCATGTGTGGCAGAGCGGGTTAGACCCCGCCTTGTTATTTGTGGCTGTCACATGAGTGATAGATGTGGCAGCCTATCGGCCGCTGTCCCTGGCCTATTTAAAGACTGTTTATGCCACCTGGTCATGCGTCATTGTTAGCTCCGCCCCTTGTTGCAAACGACTTTTCTCCAGTGTTGTGACGTATTTCCGAGAGAAACGGAATACTAAATGAGGCAAAATGGTGGGCGTGGCTTTTTTCCCAACTAGCACCTGATTGGATCTAGAAAAGTAGGTGTTGTCATTCAGCCTGTCTGCTGTCAGTTGGAGGGGCGTGGTTACGGATGTTAAGCCGACGCCCAACCCGTCAAACCTACGTCATCAGGGAAGGTCCTCCAACGCAGAGGGGAAAGTTCAGATTTTGATTAAAGATTACGAAGCCAAAAAATTTTTTTGTGTGGATTGACTTGCATGGATGAATTGTTCACCACAAAACGATCAATTTAGGCAAACAAAGTAAGTATGGTCAATTTTGAATTCATGGGGACTTTAAAGTTTCAACTACTATTTAACTGAGCTAATCAACTGATGTCTGATGTTTTTAGCAGGATATTGATTCCTTTGAAGATGCTCCGTCTTAATGTGGACGTTGGGCTGATCGTTTTCTGCATAAAATCCATTTAGACTGGCTGCTGTCTTGCTGCTGTTACTGTGTTTGTTGTATGTCTTCACCGCTACAACCATCGATCTGTTCACCGCTGCAGGTGCCGAAGTGGTGTACGTGGCCTCGCCCTTCAGTCATCTTATCATTGGCTGCCTGTGTGTTAAGTTGTATGTTTCTTTATTTTTGTTTTTGGTTAGATTGGATGTTGATTTATTGTGCAATGTGTTAAGTTGCAACTTTGTTGCCCTGTGATTTTTGTGAACTTGTTTTGTCTACAAGTTAGTGCTCCCTTTGTGGTGAGTGTTTGGTACCACCAACCACTCCGAATTTTGTTATTAGTTGTGTTTAGTATCATTTGTTTAGTGTATTCATTAATCTTGTTTTTGTTTATTTTAGGCTGATGGACCCCGGGTTGGGAGGCTAGCTTTTCTTGCCTTCTGGTGGTGGTACTTCAAGCACTGAGCGTGGTGTGTGCGTGTGGCTTTTGAATTAGATACTTAGCTAGCCTCCTCCACTCCGGGTGAGCCTCAGCCATCTTAATAATTATTTATTGTATTTTATTTTCTTGTTTATCGTGTGTGTGGATGAACAGTGTGGTACGAGTCATGTGTGTGTGTGTGACATCCTGCCTTACAGTGACCAGAAAGTTTTACCTATTGATGTGAACTTAATAAATTAACTTTTGTCCTGATATCCACGTCTCTTTGCCCTCCATGGTAACGAACCTCTGTGCCCTATTTACATTGGGTAGTTATTTCCCCTCTCTCTGAAGAGGGGTGGCGTAGTCAGCTTGTTATTTATTTACCACTATACGATTTGGTACTTGTGAACCGTTTACCACCCACCGCAACGCTACACATGGACTCAAAAGGACCTAATTTCACTGTTGCAGAAACCCATGCACTGCTGGAGGGTGTTCAGTGCCATTATGCCTCAGTAGGAAGCTCTGTTGCAGGTGGAATGGTGACTAACAAAAGGAAGAAAGACATTTGGGTTGAAACCACCCAGAATGCAAATGCAATGGGGTCTGGCCAGAAGAGGACCTTGGAGCAAGTGAAATTTAGATGGAAGAATCTGAGGGCCAGAGCAACGAAGGACCTTGCTGAAGCAAAACACACCCAAACAGCCAACAAATCCTTTAAGAAAGGTGAATACACAGATGTGATTCTGGACATTATTGGAGGTGAGAACTCTAAAGCTCTGCATGGGATTCAAGGTGTTGTAGGGGATGGTGAGCCTACGATTGTAGAGGAAAGTGAGCCAGTTCCTCCTAATGCAGAGGAAACATTCATTCTGGATCTCAGCCCTATTATTGAAGAACAACCTGGATCCTCACTGGTAGAGCCAGCAGTCACAGAGCTCAGAAAAGAGGCTTGAAGCGTCCTTTGTCGAACAAAAATGATGATTTCTATTTCTTAAACGAGAAACTGAAAGAGCAGAAGCACAGATACTCCTGGCAGAGGAACAAATCAAGCTGACCAAACTACAGCAAACCAAAGCGAAACTTCAGATCCGCCTCATAAAAGCGGGCTTGGAAATGCTGGTCTCTCCTCCTCAGATGAAGAAGAACCCTGAACATTCTTTATTTCGTTAACTATTGGATATTTAGCCATTTCATTTTTTTTAAGATGTTTTCAAAATGTCCACAATGTATTTGTTAATGTATGTTTGTTGTTTATTTTGTTGTGGTTCAGATGTGGGTCATAAAATAAATTATGATTAGAAGTGGATGTTTATGTTATTTTTGTGTTTTGTCTCAAAATAAGAAACACTTACAGTGACCCCATGTTGGCTCTTCTACCCGTTCATAGCTGGTAGCCCACATTGTGATATGTTGTCCCATTTAGAGCGCTGGTAATCCGGATTTGGTAATCTTGAAAACTGTGTATCTGGATCAGGGTGATCCAGTCCAATGTTGCTTTGAAAAAACGGCATAAAAGAAAGACGGATTACCTGATCCTGGATAGAAAAAAATGGGATTTCCAAATCCGGATCATTTTGATCCAGATTAAATGTTTTGAACAACTGGCCCAATGTTATTTACAGGGTTGGGGAAAGTTACTTTTAAAAGTATTGCGTTACTCCCTAAAAAAGTAACTAATCGCTTTACTTGATTACTTTTTATGAAAAGGACGGATGGAAACAGTTACCTATTTTTTTTTTTTAAAGTAATGCATTACTTTACTAGATACTTGAAAAAATAATCTGATTACATAACTCAAGTTACCCCAACACTGGTTATTTGTGATATTTAAAATTTTAGAGTGTGATCTGGTTTTCTGTGATTGATTAGACTGTCAGTCAGTTTTTCTAAGCACACACACGACACTAGGTGGCGCTATAATAAGGCGATTTCTGTATTAGATTAAGATTAGTTTAACTTTATATCACCAAGCAATAAGCAGTTTAACTGAGTTAAAGTGAAATAAAAGTCATGCTGTAACACAATACAAACAACACCAAAGATTTAAACTAAAACGTGTCAGTCTGTATGCAAATGTTTTTGGTTGGAATTTCATGGTCATTTAAAAACACTGGATCTCATTCACCAAAGAAAAATTAATAAAATAATAATAAAAAAGTAACAGTACTTAGCTGAAACTGACCATAGTATTGGGGAGTCTACTCTCAATAGCTCTAGTGTCGGAATCAACTACAAGCATCGACTCTGTATTTGTTTTCAGACGTGTTGTTTGTTTGTGTTATTTATCTTTTTACAGTCTATGGTTTGACATAAATAGAGTGGAGGTGGAGAAGTCGATTCCAATATTAGGAGTCAGGTATCGGAGTCGACTCCAAAAAAACCGAAATCGAACATCCAACCATTTAATCATCAACAAGCATGATCAGCTCTTTCCAGGCCAGTGTGTGTGGCTCTTAAAAGAGCCTTTGTGTGAGCGGCTCCGGCCTCTACTTGGAGCTGGTGTACTTGGTGACGGCCTTGGTGCCCTCAGACACGGCGTGTTTGGCCAGCTCTCCGGGCAGCAGCAGACGCACGGCGGTCTGGATCTCTCTCGACGTGATGGTGGAGCGCTTGTTGTAGTGAGCGAGACGAGACGCCTCACCGGCGATGCGCTCGAAGATGTCGTTGACGAAAGAGTTCATGATGCCCATCGCCTTGGAGGAGATGCCGGTGTCAGGGTGAACCTGCTTCAGCACTTTGTAGACGTAGATGGCGTAGCTCTCCTTCCTGGACTTTCTGCGCTTCTTGCCTCCCTTCGCGGCGCTCTTGGTGACGGCCTTCTTGGAGCCCTTCTTAGGCGCGGGCTTGGCTGGTTCAGGCATGATGAGATGATCGCAGAGTTGACGAGTCAGTGTGAACTCAGCAGCGACACTGAGGCTTTTATTCACTGCACTATGCTAATTTACGAGGAGACACGGAGCTCTTCTGATTGCCTGTTTTCATTGGCCGAAACCCATAAACTCGTGTTTCATTGGACAACTCAAAGCATCATGAGCGGAATGAGGGCCAATCACAGGCGGTTAAATGATAGCCCCGCCTACCATCCTGTGTTTGAACGACACGGTTTCCTTTGTTTCATTTCCCGCTTTTTATTTTTAGATGTTGGTAATTCTGATTAAATAAGTGGTTCTAGACATATTTTGCACCATCGTGTAATTAAAACTAAGCACATTAGAATGAGTTTTGGAGAAAAGAGACCCAATAACGGTCAGACTCCCTTGAAAAACAGCTTTTCCTCAGAACTTAATTGATTCATGAAACCGTTGAACTGTTTAAACTACAGGAGTAGCACATAAAAACCCATTTGAATAATAATAATAAAAAGAAACATGCTTCTGTTTTCAGCATTTTCACTTCTGCTTACTGTAGAATTATTTGATCTAATTGTCTTTTTTGTTAATTTTGTAATACACAATATTTTAGGTCTCATCTGAAAAATATTTATAAATATTAAAAACATCATTAATAAAGTCAAATGACTTTGTTAAAAACCTATTATAATTAATTTGATGATTGACACAGCTAAATCATGACTCTTTCAGTGCGGGAGTGTGTGGCTCTTAAAAGAGCCGTTGGGTCCGTCAGTTTCTCCGGGTTTCAGGCGTTTATCCCCCGAAGCCGTACAAGGTGCGTCCCTGTCGCTTCAGCGCGTACACAACATCCATGGCGGTGACGGTCTTTCTCTTGGCGTGCTCGGTGTAGGTGACGGCATCGCGGATCACGTTCTCCAGAAACACCTTCAACACACCGCGGGTCTCCTCGTAGATCAGCCCGGAGATGCGCTTGACGCCGCCGCGGCGAGCCAGACGCCGAATGGCGGGTTTGGTGATTCCCTGGATGTTATCGCGCAGAACTTTACGGTGACGCTTCGCGCCTCCTTTTCCGAGCCCTTTCCCGCCTTTGCCTCTTCCAGACATGTTTACAAGATCGTAGAACTGGTCAAACGATGACGAAGAATGAATGACGAGTGTTGAAGGGAGACCTTTTACATCTGCTTACAGGACCTGACAGAAACCAGCACCGTCACATGCGCGCGCCCCTCCCCCAAAATATAGAGCGCGAAACATTTAACCGCCACCCCGATCTGAAGGAGTCTTTCCCTTGTTTTATATTAAATATTAATAATTTAATCAGATCATGTTATTTACAGTAGTTAATATTGAACAGCGCTGTTCTACAAGCTCAGCAAAGTAAACAGAGAGAGAGACACAAGTCATCAAATCACAATATTGAATATAGTAAAATTGTGAATAGCGACATCTGTGATATTATATTTATGCCCTCTGTGTGTGTGTTGAAATGAAAATGTAAATGTTTAGGTGAATCCTACATTATCATAGTCCCGTTCAGATTCACTCTCACATGTTCACGCATATATTGGTTTTGTTAGTGATAATATGAGCTTATAATGAAAACATTTATACCGTGCTTTTTCTGCTTAATGAAAAGAGGCGAACTGTGATCATTTAGTTGTGTTAATCACTGGCTGTCTGACACACATGCCATAAACTAATAAAATCAAACAGAAGTGGCCAATTGTATATATTGGGAATATTCGCACATGCCTTTGCCTCTCATAATTACCCACACCTAACTTTTTACTTGCATCATATCACGTACGACAAAGGATCTTGTTGCTTTATATTCAGCGTTAAAGTGGAAATTGTCTCGTTTATAGTAAGTGGTGTGGCTCTTAAAAGAGCCGTTGGGGTGTGATGCGCGTGCACAGGGGGTTTAAGCGCGCTCTCCGCGGATGCGGCGCGCCAGCTGGATGTCCTTGGGCATGATGGTGACTCTCTTGGCGTGGATGGCGCACAGGTTGGTGTCCTCGAACAGACCCACCAGATAAGCCTCGCTGGCCTCCTGCAGGGCCATGACAGCGGAGCTCTGGAAGCGCAGGTCCGTCTTGAAGTCCTGGGCGATTTCTCTCACCAGCCGCTGGAAAGGCAGTTTGCGGATCAGCAGCTCGGTGGACTTCTGATAGCGGCGGATCTCCCGCAGAGCCACGGTCCCGGGCCGGTACCGATGGGGCTTCTTGACGCCGCCGGTGGCGGGCGCGCTCTTCCGCGCTGCTTTAGTCGCGAGCTGCTTCCTCGGGGCTTTGCCACCGGTGGATTTACGAGCGGTCTGCTTGGTTCTTGCCATCGCTGCAGTTTCTCCTCTCTCGGTCCTGCTTGTGCTGGAAATGCTGTTTCTGTTACACGCCTCCTGCTTTTATAGCATTGGACCGTCACGAGCTCAGAGTGTCACGATGATGCAGAGGCTTGTGATTGGCTAGTGTGTGACGTGTGCTTATGACTGTTAGCCAATGACTGCGCGTTTCCTCTTTTCAAACAAGCGGAGGGTTTGTTCTGTTTACTACTTAATAAATCAGTGTAACAAAGACATCCATAGGCTTTATTCTCACATTTCTGTATTTGGGTCAATGACGTATAAGGATTTTCGACAGGCCAATTTTAAAACACTAAAAATAATAATATCTGTTGCAATTGTTCAAACATTAAGGATGTTGTGTACACCTAAATTCATTTAAAAAAATGTGTTTTTTCATCTAGATGAATTGTCCGTAGCCTTAAAAAATGTCATATGTGCGACCGTGATTTATCTTAAAATTTATTAATTTCCTTAACATGCTTAAACATTATTTTACACGTTCTTAGTAAGCAAAGTGTTTAGAAACCAAGTATTTGCATTTCTTTTGAGTTTTTGTAAATAATGATCTAATTTTTTGTTCTATAATTTCTGAGTTGCCTTCTTAAATCTAGTTAACAGACTTATTTTTCCTGTAAATCACATAAAACTGATAGAAATGTTTTAAAAATATAATTTACAGATCACAGGAATGAATTACAGTTCACTATATATTCACATAGAAAACAGATATTTTAAACTGTTATAATATTTCACTCTTCTCCTATCAAGGTACTCCGCTCTTGCTGCAGGGTAAGAATTTTTGGCAGGCAGTGGCATCTGGTAAAACAGATTAAAATAGTTTTAAATAATAAATATGCAGTATTACTAAACTGAAATTACACGCTCTATTTTTTTTTCTCATATTGTACAAAGAGTGAACATAAACTGTCTGAAATGTATAAAAAAAATCCCAAATTGCATAAAAATATATTCCAAATGATACTAAAGTAAAATACTTTTTTACATATAAACCGTTGATTGAATATAAAAGCATAAAACTGCCAAACTAGGACATATATCTATCACTGAAAACAGTCTGCAGTGGTCGCACCACATGATATTTGGTCACACCACATGATATTTTCAAATTCAGTCAATTTACAGGCACATAATTGACCACCTAAACAAACCAAGCTAGCTTGCAAGAAAAGGTCACTATGAAATTTATTATAAAAATATATATTTGTAGAAATAACTTTATTACATGACATCCAAATTTGGCAACTACATACCAACCATTACAAAGGTTTTTTTTTTTTTTTTTTTTTTTTGAGAGAATTACAAACCTGCTGGCTGCTTCTATGGGTCGTTGGTAAATTGGTTTATGATGTAACGTCCTGTGTTTGAATAGTTTTCAACATATACGTCCCAAAATGGTAGTTCTTTGATGGTCGCACCACATGACATTTCATAAAATTGACATCATCGGACAAAGTTTGTTTGTATATTATGATGGAAATATAAATGCAAATGCTTTGAATTTTTTTTTAAAAGATTACAAAACATTTTGGAAATCATGCCAAATAGTGCAGAATATAAATTTGAATAAATTCAGAGTAATTTCAAAGATGTTTTCAAAACAGAAGTTATGGCCGGACGGTCGACTCGCACCACATGACGTTTTGACACTTTAAATAACAAAAATAAAATAAATAAATAATTAAAGGTTTTTGAAAAGTTAAAGTGAGTACATACATAGGAGAGGTACTACAAATATGCAGTATCTTTTTAGGCATTTAAACCCATTTTTGCCTGAAAAAATGCAGTCGGAGAGAAAATTTAGGTGTCACGTCATTGACCCATTTATTTGTTCTGAAATACTCGTCTTGTTTCTCAGTGGTTGTGCAGATCTCGGATCAGAACAAAATCACATTACAGTCTGTGTAAAAGCACTGCAGCCAGAAATGAAGACACGCTTGTTGCCCTCCGGATAGTTGAGTAGAGCAGCTAAAGGGCAAAAGACCCACAGTAACATTGATTAGTTTCTGTTACACTGGAAATCCGCTGAAGCGTATTTAGCTTTATATTTTGGATAGTCAATTATAATATTCAATACATTATCAGAGCTTGGTAACCAAATATACTTACATGGGGAGATGGGTTAGGGGAAGCAACATTTCACACTGCCTCTGCCAAACACTATTAAGGGATCATCATGCGTTTACAGCAGGCATGCTTGTGGCTACTATAATTATATTGCAGAACAATCATACATTTGACTGGTTTAATGGGTCACTCTTTCTCAACTAAATGAGTTTATAGCGTTGGTAAATGTTAAGAAAAGCGCTCTCTATCAGACGGAATGAGTGGCTCTTAAAAGAGCCGTTGGTCGTCGGTGAGGGGCCGGAGCACTACTTGGCCTTGGCGGGCTTCTCGGTCTTCTTGGGCAGCAGCACGGCCTGGATGTTGGGCAACACGCCGCCCTGAGCGATGGTCACTCCGCCCAGAAGCTTGTTCAGCTCCTCGTCATTGCGCACCGCCAGCTGCAGGTGCCGGGGGATGATGCGGGTCTTCTTGTTGTCCCGAGCGGCGTTTCCAGCCAGCTCCAGGATCTCCGCGGTCAGATACTCGAGCACAGCCGCCAGATACACAGGAGCTCCGGCACCGACGCGCTCGGCGTAGTTGCCTTTGCGGAGGAGCCTGTGGACACGGCCGACGGGGAACTGCAGCCCTGCCCTGGACGAGCGAGTCTTGGCCTTCGCTCGGGCTTTGCCGCCGGTTTTGCCTCTGCCGCTCATTTTATAGATCAGTTTCTACAACCTTCACAGTGGAAGAGAACAGAATGAAGAGCAGCGCTTCCACACACTGTCTTTAACCGAGAGCGCCAGTCGCTCATTGGCTTAGAGTCTGTTAACATTTAAACCAATCACTGAACTTCCCTCCAAAGCCCAACCCCCTTTCTGGCGGGAAGAAATATGCACAACTATTTGTGACGGTAAAGACTATGCACGACTGACTGCTATTAAAGGACATTTAACTAATCATCACCCAGTCAAAAACATATTGTAAAACTGCTGGGAATATGAGCAGACATATCGAATATCTTTGGCTGGACAGCAGGCTCAACAAATAGGCATCAGTAATATCCACATTAGCCCCAGTGGCTCTGCCCGTCTATCCACCTTGGCTCTTCTCAATGCATGATAAATGAAAACCAGAAATATGTTTCAAAAGAGACAATAATGCAGCAGTATTTAAAAACTGAAAATTTCCACTGCTGTTTCAATGTTTATGTAATGAGTTATTATAATCAAGATATTAATCATTATTTATGTGAAGTATGTTTAATAGAGGAGACAGTACAACATGTATTGAAGAAATGTAAGGCTTATAATAAAGAAAGGAGGATTCTTAAAGAAGAATTGCAAGCTGTAGGATGCCAGGAATTCACTATAGCCAACTTATTAAATGATGGTCCAAATTCAGGAAAACAAATAAATGCAATCATGAGATTTATTAAGAATACTGGGTTATATAATAGGATATAGGAGGATTTAGTTCATTCTCACAGTAGGTGGCGGTATGCACCTTTAAAGTTGGTTCACAACCTGCCATAAAACCAAAAGAAGAAGAAGAAGAAGCGACTTTCATTTGAGAATAGTTGGCAACACAAACAAGCGAGGGTCATCATAGGGAAAATGGCAGATCATGGAAACAAATGCTATGTTCCAGGCTGTGCAGGGGATGTGAGGACTTTTCATACCCTTCCCACAGAAAAGAAATGTCAACAGGCGTGGTTGATGTTCATCTATAATCGGATACCGCAACAGTTTAACTCGAAGTTGTTAGTTTGTTCTGCCCATTTCACCACGGACTTATTTTCTAACCTGGGACAGTATCAAGCAGGTTTCTCTCAGCGTCTCATCCTGAAGAAGGGGGCACTTCCAACTATACTCCCGCAAGCGGTAAACTAGTGCTATTATTAACGATAATCTACACTGTGTAATGTAGATCCAGCGCAAGATCCTAGTACAGTAACAATAGCAAACTCCAAGTAACGAGCATACATAACTAAATAGTATGGCATTACGCTGAGAGATTAATAATTCTTGCCTGTGTTGTCATATAAATCTACAAAATAATACATATGTAAATTCCCTTTTGTCAAATAATTTTACTTTCGTCTATTTCATCAACAACTACGTTAGTTTAGTTGCTCACAGATAATGTTAGCTCACTCGATCCTTCTAGCTAACTTCACATTCTCCACCACATAAGATGAAGCTATATTTATTTGACAAGGCATCTAGCGTTAGTCGATTTGTTAAAATGTTTTAATGTTTGAAAACTGATGTATGTTTATTTCGCACGCTTGTGTATCAGAGTGCACCACAGCGCATGCGCACTAATGATGTCGGCTGCCAAACGGAGGATCCCGGCGTCCTGTGTGAGGGAACACCGCTGTCTGTGAACACACTGAGCTCACACCTTCAAAGCAAAGGCAATGTTACTTATCATTAAGTGCATATGTGCTGGATTATAAGGACAGATTAACTGTGTACTATTATTAAATGCCAGCTTGTTTAACTCAGTAAATCTGCAGTTCTTTTCATAATCATCAAGATCCTTCTGCGCTAATGTACAGAAAAGATGACTTGTGTCCCGCTATTGAAATCTTGCATGGGTTACCATTATTCCCCTTACTAATTATATATATATATATTTTACTGGTAGGCACACAGGTGACCGTGTCATCTCAAAGTGTGGCGGTAGGCACCACAACTACTGAAATGTCATGGGCCGCAATAGATCCATGTACACCAACCCCATTGAAGGCTTCAAGGCCCGCTAAAAGACCCCGTGTTGAATTTGAAGAGGAAATATTCCCCATTTCCGTGTCTGATCCACAAGCACGGTCTGTTACAGCCGAGACACAATCATCACACGTTTTGTAAGTTATATCTCTGTAACAAATCAGCAATTAATACACTAACAAGCACAATGTATTTTTTTCTTTCAGTGCCACATCAATGCCATTCCACAAGGATGCAAAGTACATTGTTTTTGAAGAGTGTCTCCTCAGCCTGTTCGAGAGTTGTCCTGTTTGC